CTTTCCTAAGTAAGTGTACGGTAAAGGACAAGTCAGTGAAAATCCTGAAAGCAGTAAAAAGGCGAAAGCAATTTCGTAAAAAAAGTTTTTTTCACTAAAAAGTTTAAAGCAATTTCTGCAGTGTTTCCCAGACAACAGAATGTAGAAAACTTTGACAAGTTAACATTTACACTTTAACTAAAAAACCCAATTAAGATATACATGCTGCCTTGTATCTGAACAGAAACGAGACACCTGACAAACCAACCCCCCAAAAGCCCTTTTGGCCCCTACAAGTAAGTACACTTACATATGCACACATTTTTAGCACAGGAACGAGTAAACACATGAGGTGTTTTATTATGAAGTCTAGTGAATTACAAGTACAGAATATTCTCTGAATGTGCTCTTTGTACACATCTGTAGCCCTCCAAGTCCATAAAATACTGTTTAATAATTACTAATACTTAACAGTCTTCATAAATTTTCTTGTCTTATTTTTAGTGTCTAAAGTGAAAGACATTACCACAGAAATATCAAGGCATGAGTAGAAAGTAACCTTAAAAAAATTCTTGGTTATAATTCAGAAAAAAACTCCACGTTTGTACAGTCCATAGCACAAAAAGCTGAAAGGATTCAGCAAACATATTTTGAAAACAATCACAATTAAGTAATTCATGATGAACGAAATGCAAGCTTAGACAATGAAAGCAATGCATGGCTGATAACTATAACCTCTTGACTGAAAGCTTCAGAATCAGTTACAATCCTCACACAAGGATAAATAAGCTATTTATAGAAACAGTACACATGAAATTTTGAAGGGAGAAAAAGGACTAGAATTATTTATTTTTAACGTCTGGTAAGACAACACCTAATAGCAGAGAAATATAAAAATGTATGGGCCCAACAAATATAACAATTTCTGCAACATGATGTGCTGTCCGGAATTATAGGCAAGAGTCTTATAAAAGATGGAAAAAGACACTGCATGATTACTACTGAACTAATGCTTCCAGCGCAGAAATGTTTTACCATCCTCAGGAGTAAGAAGAGTGGATGCCCTTGGTGCAGCAGTTTTGTTTCTCCCTAATTTATACACAGGTGGTAACATGCTTAACCTTAGCAACTTATTTTTCCTAAAATCTTCTAAATATTTGGTCTATTTGAAAAAAAGTGGAAAGAAACTTCAGCTCAAGCCAAAAATCTCTATTTTTTATCATATTTCCAATTTAGATGTTTATTTTTGCTTTTTCCACCTACAACTGGAGCCCCCTACTGAACTGTCTCTGAAACATTCAGCCAGTTAATTCCATGAAACCTGGGCACAGAAACACAGAATATTCTGTACAGCCTAGAAGACCCTGGCCAACAGCATCTAGAACAAGATCAGTCTTCACTGGCAACCTCTCTTGCCACACGTCTCGAGCGGATGGACCGCAAGACAGGGACAGGGGGAGCAAAGCCCCTCTCACTATATTAAAATAACAGGTTTGTGACCACCTGAGGAACCTGAACATGCGCAAGTCCATGGGACCTGATGAGATGCAGCCCAGAGGCCTGAGGGAGTTGGCTGATGAAGTTGCCAAGCCACTCTTCATCATATTTGAAAAATCACGGCAGTCAGGTGAAGTCCCTGGTGACTGGAAAAAAGGAAACTTGCACTCATTTTTAAACTGGGTAGAAAGGAGAACCCTGGGAACAACTGACCTGTCAGCCTCCCCTCTGTGCCTGGGAAGATCATGGAGCAGATCCTCCTACAAGCTCTGCTAAGGCACATGGAGGACAAGGAGGTGAATTGAGAAAGCCAGCATGGCTTCACCGAGGGCAAGTCCTGCCTACACCAACCTAGTGGTCTTCTCTGATGGAGTGACTGCATCAGTGGACAAAGAAAGAGCTACGGATGTCATCTACCTGGACTGCTGTAAAGCCTTTGACAAGGGCCCCACAACATCCTTCTCTCTAAATTGAGGAGATATGGATTTGATGTGTGGGCTGCTTGGTGGATAAGGAATTTGATGGGCGGCTGCATCCAGAGGGTAGTGGTCAAGCGCTCGATGTCCAGATGGGGACCAGTGTCAAGTGGTGTCCTTCAGGGGCCCGTATTGGGACCGGTGCTGTTTAATATTTTCATCAATGACATAGCGAGATCGAGTGCACCGTCAGCAAGTCTGCAGATGACACCAAGCTGAGTGGTGCAGTTGACACACTGGAGCAAAGGGATGCCATCCAGAAAGACCTAGACAAGCTGGAGAGGTGGGTCCATGTGAACCTCATGAGGTTCAACAAGGCCAAGTGCAAGGTCCTGCATCTAAGTCAGGGAAACCCCCACTATCAGTACAGGCTGGGGGATGAAGGGATTGAGAGCAGCCCTGCTGAGAAGGACTTGGGGGTACTGGTGGATGAAAAGCTGAGCATGACCCGGCAATCTGTGCTCACAGCCCAGAAGGCCAACCGTATCTTGGGCTGCATCAAAATAAGTGTGTCCAGGAGGTTGAGGGAGGTGATTCTGCCCCTCTGCTCTGCTCTGGGGAGACGCCACCTGGAATCCTGCATGCAGCTCTGGAGCTCTCAGCACATGACAGACATGGAGCTGTTGGAACGGGTCCAGAGGCGGCCACAGAAATGATCAGAGGGATGGAACACCTCTCCTATGAGAAGAGACTGAGAGAGTTGGGGTTGTTCAGCCTAGTGAAGAAAAGGCTCTGGGGAAACCTTATTGTGGCCTTTCAGTACTTAAAGGGGGCTTACAAGAAAGATGAGGACAGATTTTTTAGGAGAGCCTGTAGCTATAGGACAAGGAGTAATGGCTTTAAACTAAGTGAGAGTAGATTTAGACTAGATATAAGGAAGAAATTTTTTACATTGAGGGTGGTCAGACACTGGAACAGGTTGCTCAGAGAGGTAGTGGAGGCCCCATCCCTGGAAACATTCAAAGCCAGGTTGGATGGGGCTCTGAGCAACCTGAAATCGTGGTAGGTGTCCCTGCTCATTGTAGGAGAGTTGGACTAGATGGCCTTTAAAAGTCCCTTCTACACCAAACTATTCTATGATGCTTCAAAAGATGCAAGAAACTATGCTGTGATGTGCTGAACTCTTCCCTTGCTACCACTGACTAAAGCAATATTCTCATACATGTAAAAACTCAACACTTAACCCAGCTGTTTGTTTTCAGCCATTCTAAGGCGCCCTACACCAGCGAGTAGCGCATGCCCGTCCTGCACCCGTCAGCCCAACACCTCCCGCCGCCGCGCAGAGCTCAGCGAC